TTTCTTCTTCTTCTTTTCTCATTTCTTCATCAATTTGCTTGCGGAGTTCTGTGATTCTTGCACCTTTTCCATCATTCAGCTCTTTTAGCCTGATTAAAATTAATTGAAGATGAATATAGTTCAACTGCAGTAATTCTTTTTTAGTTTTTTTTTTTTTTAATGCAACAATTTTAAAGATCCACAAGCGTGGTCAGAAATTATTAAGTCTTTGATATCTGTCATCCGTACATATAACAGCTCCTGCGATACAGGCATTCATAATAGTTTGCCATAATTGGAAATGCGCCCTTCAAAACTGGCTAATGTTTTGGGTGCACAACCCGGTACGTTTTATCTCCCAGTAAAAATGCCACAGTAGAAGAGTTAGCCTGTTCAATCTTAGCGAATATAGTCTGATTTCAACCATCTCTCTCTACGGCGTCGGCTTCAAGGATAATTACAGAAATTGCTTTGCTATCCAATTTTAATATTATTATACTGACAGCGGGAAATTCAATATGCTTGAAATAGTCTATTAGGAAGTCTTTTTTTGTGTAGGGCATGTCAGCTCTATACTTAATCAGTCGCCGATCACGAATTAAACTTCAGTCTTAGAAGTGATTTCGTCATTAAAAGCTGTTTTAAGTTACATGATTGATTGTATCGTTGATTTGCCTAACACTTATCAAAATAACATGCACGCCATGCAATATTAAAAACATTACCTGCTAGCTTGTAGCTGCGTCTGCAATACTTTCTGTTTTGCAGCATTCACAGTGTCTGAGACAAGAAATCAAGTCTCTCACCACTTGTCATCAATTACTTATTAACACTGACTTCACTTTAAAAAATACGAATAATTAGTATCACCCAACTAGTGGACTAATGCAAATCCTGCATTTTAATTATCTATGCTACTAAAGGACTATTAGTAATAGTCCTCGAGTAGCGAAATTGGCACAATCGAGCGTGACGCTTTCTTTCGTTTTAGTCCCAAATAAATATTTCTTCAACTTGCATTTGCTAACTTAATTATTGCCTTTTCTGTGCGACTAGTTGGGTGATACCAGGCGCCCATAAAACAATTAGACCCTTCGCCCTCAAGGGCCACGGGTCAATAGCCCATGAGGCGAAGCCGAATGGGCTA